CAGTTCAAATATATGACTTTCATATATTCTTAAACGAACCAGATAATGATACTATAACAGATACATTTAACTTAGCAGAGCTAACAAACAATGAAGAATACCATCAAAAAATCCAACTTCTAAAAAGAAAGAATACAGAATCCTTGCCACAATTTTCATTCCAAGGAACATGTTCATGAACAAGGAATTTTTTGTTAAATCTGGGAATTCTTATCACTTTTCTGCTTGATATTGTATTGATCTGGTAAGGAGAAAGTATGTCTTGGTCACTGCTGGGAATGAAAGGGTTAAACAACTATTAAACAAACCTGTCAACTGTAGAAGACATGCAGCAGGAAGCAGGGCTTGTACATTCTCAACGCTAACTTGAATTGTCTCAGTATATACAAAGTCCAGAATAAATTCCATAGTGTCTGAGTCTAGACCATGAAGTTCAACCACAGACTTGTGACTTTCCTCCATGTTGCCAGTAAACATGGCACAGAAATAATCACTACAAGCACTCAGGATTACACGGTGGGCAAAAAACTCTTTTTCTCCAACTTTTAAAGTGATATCACACAGCTTCCTTTCCTTTCTTAGTCTGTTGATAGACTTCAACAGGTGATCTGAGTGTCCACATCTTAAATATTTTAACTGGTTTTCATGATCTTCTGCTAAATCAGCCATCACCGTTATGCTGCCTTCAATGGCTGTTGATCACCAAAAACATCAAACATGAAATGACAAAACAGTAAAACAAATGGTGAAGGTAGTGATTCATTAGTGTCTGTAAATGTAACTTCTCAAAAGTGAGCACCTCCTTAGCTCTTCAACTTTAACTCCCAAGATCTGATTGTTACATGGATTAATTCTCCCTCCCATGGAGCTGCTAAACATTTTCTTGTAAATGAGAGGTATGTTGCTATCACCTACTGGTGTTAGATCAAGATAAAAATGTTTTTCTGATAAGTTCTAATATTCTCATTACCTGCTTACTATGTGTCGAATGGTTATCATAAAGAAGAAGTTACATGTTAGTCACTTTTGGGAAATACAACTAAAAGGT